TATCATGGTATGTTATTTCCAATAGAGACTTTTTTGATTTAATTCTAGTCCGTTTGCCCAACTCTATCATTTTCTCAACTAATTGGCTCCAGTAACCATAAATAATATTAAACATTAAACGAAAAGTAATACTAGATGATTTTAAAATCATAAAAACTATTCGTTTGTGTTTATGATGAATCTGACTTTTCGAATATTTATGTATTTGCTGAAATTATAAGAGATTGGGTTGTTTTCCTGGACCAAGTAAAACTGGACATTGACATTTAGTAAGTAATATTAATATCTTGGTATTAGCAGAAAAGATAAGAATAATAATTAAATGCTTCATCAATTAATTATTATGTAATTATGTAATTTTTATATCTTAATGTGATTTCCCTTGTCATGTAATATCATATTATATTGTTATAGCGGATGGATTTTGTCAGCATAACGGATCATTAGTATGTCGTAACAATCATAAATACATTCCTTTGATGTAACATCATTATCATTTCGCTTGATGGGAAAAACTCGATCAGTTACGGGGACGACTTTCAACTCGAAAGGTGAAGGGAGCTTGTAATCTTTATGTGAACAACCTCACGATTGGTCAAACAACACAACAATGGTTTGCCCAAAAGGGAAGCCCTGGTGGCTTAGTGAATTTTATGTGAATGTTTTACGTGTTAGAATGATTTCTATGCTTGTATAATAGTGATTTGACCACTCATTAATCAATATATATATAGAAACAAGCCTGCAGTGAGGCTGATGTCCTCCGCCGAAATCAAAAAATAAATAGATGACACATATTATTTAATCGCACAGTTATTTTTTCAAAGGTATCAAGCAATTAGACTGATTATCAACTATACACTAAGTTGCATCACACTCTATCAGATATAATCAAAGTTATCTTGTCCCAAAGCATCGACCAATGAAATTGCTTAGCTCAATCAAGACATTCACATAATGAACATCTACATCCAGTTTAAACATTCTACTTCAATTAAAGAGAGGGAGAAATGGGGTTAAACGTCCACTCGACACAAACTAGGTCATTTCGGGACTAACATATGGTTTAATTTCATTTCAATAATTCGGTTGCGGGTAGGGGTCTTTAGCAGTGGGAGGAAACCGGAGGACCCGGAGAAAACAAACGAGGTTGGATAGGCGACCCTACTCCTTGTCACGCCAGTTGACTCAATGACAGACCTTATGATACAGCATGCACGTGCTAACCATTCGGCCACGCAACCCCCCACATCAATTAAAAGCATGGTTGTTATGTTCCAAAGTCTTGACCAATCAAATTGCTTATCTCTCCTTAGCCGAAGCAGAAAATTCTCATCATCGGACTTAGTCAAGGTAATGATATAATGAATCTATGTTCGGAGTTTCACCACTCTTACTTAATTATAATCAAAGTTATCGTGCCCCAAAGCATCAACCAATCAGATTGTTTATCTCTGCCTCGAACCAGAGGCTGAGAGTATGTTCTTGATGATGTCTGAAAATACCTTAGATCCATTCACTTGATTTGATATTAATTTGTTTATTTGGTGCAATGTCTATTTTCTGTTTTGTCCGCAGGTTTATCTTGTAGATTTTTGTTTTGCGTGTAGTGTGGTCCTCCTGCACGTACTATTATAGTCCTAAGGTAGTTCTACACGATGTTCTCGCCCGGCCTGTACGCCGAGGCGGCCAACGGTGTGAGTTAGTCTAAGAAAGTTGAATCTTGAAAATTACCTACTTAGCCCATTTCGCGTTGTCACCCGTTTGTTTGTACATTCATGTACAAACAAAAACCAAGTCTTCAACCTTCGTATAGACTTGATAGATGTAATTACGATCTAAGTTACGGAACAATCCTCATAGAGTTTTGTGTCAACCGAGCAAAATCTCTATTTCCGAACTTCCTTCCTACTTAGACCGAGGACATCATTTCTTTTTCTTTACCATAACCTTTTCGTATCAATTTTAGGATTCTTCGTTTCATTAGTTTTTCTTATTATTTTTCCACCGGTTATTGAAAATTACTCGTATGTTTAAACCTAACCTTTATCTTTCTTAATATTAATATCATAACAGTAACACTGTAGCGTCCTTTTTTAAATTTACTTTCAGAAAATCCCTAATCTTTAAAATTTCATTGAATCTATACCTTGGTCTGTTTAGCTTTCCATGGTCAGTTTACTAGGAAACATGTGCCTACCTAACCTCGAACATTGTCAAGGGTAATCTATCCACCTGGAAATTTCATCTGCTTCCATTTAAACCCGGGAACTTCTTCTTCTTCCAAGAAATTCTTTCAGGGTCGATATCCTAACATCAACGGCTCCAAAACATGCATGCGACTCTACCGCGTTGTTAAATAAATAATTAACTCTAACTTCCACGTTGTGTACACGATCAATTAACCCAGGGACACTGTGTTTTTATAACTATGTTCATATATCAAATACAGGAAACTACAACATCTATGATAGTACATAAGGAGTTATAATATCTACAGTGTGAGTTTAACAAGCCTACAACCCAGACCTAACGGCTAAAACACTACATGTCTCTATCCCAGCCTCGAACCGGAGGCTAAGAGTACGTTCTTCTAAGAATACCAAATGATGTCTGTTTCCCAGCCTCTCAGCCGAGGAGGAGACTGTGGAAACGTCCTTCTGAGAATAACAAATGATGTCTGAAAATACCTTAGGCAAGAGCCACACACTTCTTGATACTTACACATGATGTTCTCGCCCGGCCTGTAAACCTAGGCGGCTAACGCTATGTCTCATTGAGAAGCCCACAGCTAGTAGGGCGGGGCAATTACCATTTTGGGGTAAGTGTTTCGTATGGGCGCCGGTTTACGTCAACATTATTCTATTTATTTGGACTAATCTGTGCACGAGATGACTGAACGATAGTGCCCTACGTTCAGCAATTGGTGGTGGCAGGAACTGTCTGTGAGTTAGTCTAAGAAAGTTGAATCTTGAAAAATACCTACTTTAGCCCATTAACCACTTCAATATATTAAAAAGAGCACCTTTCATAGAACTAAAATAACCCCTATAGTATTATATAAGTAGTCTAGTTGGTAGTAAAAGTTCCTTCGACAGTTCACTGAAATGTAGACAGACATTCATCAGAAACACCGCTGCCAGGGCAAAGGTATCTCTCGCTCTCTCTCTCTCTCTCTCATTGCACAAAATTCCCATATGTTATCCTCAAATTCTCTAATGCTGGGTCCCCACTGTCGTGCGATGCGTTGTGATAGGATTGTCCCTATTGAGTCCACGATCTGGTATGTGCAGATACGTTTCGATACGATTGCTACGATTGAGCCCAATATATACTGAGCGCCATGGAAAACGCATCACTTTTTTTCCGAAATATTGTATTACTAGGTGGTTTTGTATGTATAATATTATGCAGTACTATGAACTATTGTTTCACACAATGCTCCCAAACGCAAAAAATATCGGCCCGTGTGCCAAAAAAAAAAAAAAAAAAAAATTGCACGAGATGCACATGAAAAACCCAATATTCACGTGCAGCATTGTGTGTGAGCCCTTTAAAAGCATGTTTTCAACTTAATGTGCAGTACATGAACTGTGAAACGTCAATCTGTCGTAATTTGTTGTTGGACGTGTGAAGGAATCGAGCTAGAGATACCAAGACTTATTGAAAATCAACGGAATGAAGCCATGGAATGTCCAGGACTGGTATGTCTATACGTTCTATTGCCAGACACTTTAATTGTAAGGTTGGTGGAACATGTGACCGTCAACGTCCTGGTCCACAACGCGTTACAACCCAGGCTCAAGACCGCTACATCCGGGTCACTCATCTGCGTGACAGATTCCGCCCAGCGACTCGAACAGGTGCAGCAGTCGTCGGAAGACGAGGACCAGTAAGTGCCAACACCGTAAGACGTCGTCTAAGAGAAGTAGGACTCCGTGCACGACGACCTTATGTTGGAGCTGTCCTCAGGGATCATCAGCGTCAGCGGCGTTTGATATGGGCTCAAGTGTGCTCTTCAGTGATGAGAGTCGCTTTCATCTTTATCACGTTGATGGCCGTCAACGTGGGTGGAGACGTCTTGGGGAACGTCTTGCAGACTGCTGCGTCTTCGAAACGAATCGATGGGGCTGGGGAAGTGTAATGGTGTGGGAAGGCTTCACATTAAATCACCGGACCGCCCTACACATTTGCAGGGGTCGCGTTAATGCTGTAGCCTACCGTGATGATGTCTTGCAACCATTTGTTGTTCCGATGTTTCGAGCGCACCCACAACTTCAGCACTTCCAACAGGATAATGCACGTCCTCATACCGCCCGTTTTAGTATGAACTACCTGGCTGCTAACAACATCAATGTCTTGGACTGGCCAGCCATGTCTCCGGACATGGCACCGATAGAACATGTCTGGGATGAGATTGGACGCCGTCTGTATCGGAGACCACAGATGCACACCATTGCTGCTTTAGAAGCTGCTCTTGTCCAAGAATGGAACAATCTGCCCCAGGACTTCTTTCAAATATTGGTAAATTCCATGCGACGTCGCTGCACAGCGTGCGTAAGAGCCCGTGGAGGACACACGCGCTACTGACATCTGTGTCGTACTTTTGGTTTTGACCCCTCTGACTTTGTACCGTTGATTACAGATTAAACATCCATAAGTGTACAAATGTGTTGTTATTGATGTGTTCCCATTTGAATATTGTTCACAATAAGAAGCAAAATAAATAAGATATGTTTACTGGATCATTTTGTTATACGAAAAACTAAGTGATGCGTTTTCCATGGCGCTCAGTATATAATAAAACCTGATAGGATCACCACGATTACCGCACGATTAAAGCTGCGATTTCAGTCGCAGCACGAATCGTGATAGTGGGAACCTAGCAAAAAGTATTGTGAATATGAGGTATTGGATCACACCTTAAAATGGGTGATAAGTTATTTTCAATCCGTAACATCGTTTGACAAGCTCTTTATACAGAAAATTAACAACACCAGTTGTAAGATAAATCAAGATTTTATAATTCTTACTTACAAGCTTATTATATACAAAGAATAAAATAATTTACATTATTTAAAATAATTAAACGCCGAGGCAATTTACAGATGGAAAGAGCTATCCCCCCGTGTGGGACAGGTAAATAATATGGGACAGTTTTGTGAAAACACTATTAGCTGCGTGGTGTAGTGAAATCCGACAAAATAATTTATACATTTGTGCGACAACATAAGACATTTTGGCAGATGCGCCTAACCACAATTAAATAAGAAACCGTTCGTTGTTAACAGAATAGCCTGTTATAAGATCGTATTTGATTTTTCTTTCCCTCAAATACCGAAATCAAGGAGCATTTCCGAAATTAAAAGGTTCTGTACCGTTTGGGTAAAATAAAGTGTTACATTGGTTTGTTCTGATGCCTGATAGTGATAGGATAATCTGTATACAGTTAAATATTTATTTAGAAAGAATATGCTGAATTAGGTTTTGTTTGGTTTTTTTTAATTTTCATTTAATATGTCGATAATTTATTACAAATGAATATTTAGATTGTTTCTACGCTACAATGGATTTAATATATATTCAGTACAGATACCGTTCAGGCACATGTCTTATACGCGAACTGGAGTGAGTTTCTAAATATAAAAAAGTAGATGATGTTTTGACGTGATCGAAAAGATACAGAATATAAAACTCGACTAATCGAACAACGAATTGAAAATTCGTTTGATTTTAATGAGATTGAAACTGTCGACAGTTGAAGTCGAAATCTAGTAGCATATGTTTCTCAACATTGGCTCTATGGGCATTATAATGTGGCCATTTAGCTACCTATCAAAACAAATAAACACATCAACACTTATTTTTTACGCACATCCAAGTACAATATATTTCGAATTACCAATAACCAATTTATTGTTTTCCCATAACTTGAAAAGCAACCCCGGACACAACTAGAATTCATTTCGAGCACTCAGACTATATGTACAAATTATATTCAACGAGAGACCGTAGACAACAAGATTAACCAAAAATAAGATCCGATTACATAGTAAAAGTTTTGTAAATTGTTAGCGAGGCAGCGATCTGTTAAAACACACACAACATGAAATATCATTTTTATAAATCATATATACAAACGTCTATTATCTAGGGAATTTACTTAACTTATATATTTCTAATGTGAATTTCTATGAAAACGTCAGACTAGACATCCCTGATCAACATTACGACTGAATAATGCAGACTGGCTTAGTCTTCTCAAGATCATCGCCACATCGTTAAGGGCTCATCTAAAACGTCGTAACCGACCTCGAAGATGTATTATGTACGATTTAGATGACAGTTCTTGCAATGACAGTTTAGAAATAGATAACGAGAAATGAATATATTGAAAATTACAGTCAAATATTATTTTATTCTGAGTGAAGTTATGAGTGTGTGAAGTTTTGACAAGTTAGTCTTGATTGCCAAGTACCATTTCTACGATAATAAACAAGGTCTCGGAAATTTATTAAATGGCAGCGCTGGTCTAAGCCAGCTGATGCCCGAGAGAGTTGATTATGGGATTTTCATGTGAATAAATATCTAAATAATAATTTATATAACATTTGAAGCTAACAAAGACTGGCAATAGGCAGATTCAGCTCTTAATAATGCAACTTTGAATGTTATCGAGGCTTTGTCTAAGGCCTATATCATTATTACCAAATATTTTATTTTGCAAAGGGTTCAAAATCCTTCAATGACAACCAGAGACTTTAAATATTCGTCATTTAATGCATAATTGGTCTTATCACCTCAGTGTTAGCTAATCTTGGTAAGAACGGATATTCTATTGTTGCTAGATGATATCTTGTTTCTGATATATGTTACTGCAAAACTATCACTATCCATACCAAGTTTAAGTAACGGACGAAGTGGATGACGCGGGTAAATTTAACGGCACTAAATGAACGTTTCAACATAAAGATTCATTATTATCCCGAGCACACCACATAGCTATCAGTTTTCTTTTTAGATTAAACACGATTGATATAAACAGTATTTCACGATTTGCAATTCTAGTTTATTTAAGATACAAACAAAATCCGTTTAGTCGGCATTCACAATAGGATTATCAATTACAATGCACACTCCATGATTAAAACAACAATTACATTTTATTAATATCACAAATTATCGTCAGTTTACCAAAGTATAAGGGCACCTTTCCTGGACATATTCTCCTATGGCTTTCATAAAAGAAACGTTCGACGTTTTCAATTTCTTATTTGGTCAAGCATTATTTATTTTATAGTAATTAATTCACTGTTTTGATAACTGTTGTCTTGGGTTCAGCACTAGTTAGAGCGGATTTCGCTTCCGATAATCTTCTATACTGTGATTCGTCCATTTCGGTTTGAAACTTGTTGGGACTTTTAACCTGACAGCACAAATTTGTAAAACTGTTTTTAAACACTTTGTTGAATAAGCAATAGATGACGAAGTTCGATGCGGCATTGAGAGCTAACAACGTGTCCGTAAATTCACGAACTCCTTTTACCAAATTTCCCGCCTCGTGATAGCCAAATCCGAACACCGTGGACATAATGGCATCCGGTGTAATGCAGACCATAAATACCACGATTACCATAATCATCATTACGGTTACACGATGCCGGGAATTGTTCCTCTTATTCGCACGCGTTTTTCGCAGTGCTCCAATAATGCACATGTTTAAAGCTACCAAAACGATCAACGGAATGATAGAACGTATTAAATTCTGTGCCCACGTGTACGTGATCACAAATGTTTGATTTTTCCACATATCTGTTAGCATCACATGAATCATAGACACATTCGTTTCCGGATCCAAGCACCAAATAGTCCGATAACGTAATGCAGACGGTAAGGCTAAGGCAGTCATTACAACATATACCGCAATGCATGTATAAACGGCACGTTTACGACTGCATACATTGCGTGCACGTGTAGGATGACAAACGAGAATATATCGTTCAACAGCTACGGAAACTGTTAACCATGAAGACACACAAACGGACATGTTGAAAATAAAATGAGCGTAAGGATATAGATAGCCGTAGGCCCTATTACCGATTGTTGTGTCCGTTTTGTAAAAAACTATAACTAAGAAATATAATATGTCGTTAATAAGTTTGATACCATCCGCTACGGCTAAAGCACTGAGAAAAGCGTTGGTAGACGTCCTCATATTCGTCTGTGATAAGACTATTATAGTTAAAATGTTTCCTAAAAGTCCGGGAAAACATATACATGGATATAATATCAGTCCCGTTATCATCCGGGAAACTTCGTAAAACTCCTGGTGCGCTTCGTGATGCGGCTCTTCATCCTCTGACATACAGAGCGTGAAATTTATTCCGGTTGAATTTAGCGCCATCTTTTTAGAGTTTAGGACTGGGAATTATTGAACAGTTAAGACTCCATGTGTATACCTAAAAGATAAAAAGAGTAGATATTATGAAATGTTACACAAGAAATAAAATTAGTATTTGAGATAGTCTCCGGCAGCAATTTCGTATTTTGGATTTTCCTAGACTTTTTTTTAGCGAGCCTTGTGGATATTTCGTTACAAAAGATTTACGAATTGTGGAATCTTTGAAGACCCTCGCGGAGTTTCGACCAACATAACAAGACCCATTAACTCAATACGCCCAATGTTTGGTCAATAGCCCACTCGTGGCATTAACATTCGCCAACTATTAGATAAGGTTAAGGTATGAGAAATTTGCCTGACCATTATAAAACAGGTTATCGATGTCAAGATATTATGTCCAGTACCTAGACTGCGATAGCCCTCTTGCTGCATTGTAAGACCCCCCTTCTCAATGGTATGGGGCGGAGGGCCTAACGTGTAGTCCGATTGGAGGAAAACATGACGTCCCGTGTACAAATCGTCGTGCACTAAAAGAACCCTTGGCAGTTGGAATTCGAAATAAGGATAGGCCGTAGAGCCACTGTCCGGGCAAAATGTCCCTCATAGCACACTGCACGGCGTTTGCACTTCTTCATTAGCCCAGTCGGTGCAGAAAAGTAGAACGTTAAATCCCATTGCATGCCATTTCACCATTATAAGTTACATTAATGCAGTTTTTTAAGGTTCTAATAAATATTTTTAAAATTACCCCCCTCCCTTCACCGATCTCCCTGGACCGCAAAAGTTGTTTAACAGAGTAAAAGGTATGCCATGTCGTATATACCTTGTGAAGCACACAAGATGAATTAGGTCATCAGTTACAAAGAGTATAATCAATTCCCTAGCCAGATAACTATACAACATAAATTGTTATCTAGATGTAAAGTCTAAAATAAGGCTTAAAGAAAAATCAATATTTTTTGCTTTATATTAACTTCTAAAAAAAAACCTGATATGAAAAACATATCAGACTTATCAATTTGCAGTAATGAGATAAAGCTTTATAAAAAAATAAATAAATAAATAAATTGGCCATTAAAGACGAATACCAGAAGACATCTGATGCTATCAATAGATACGTATTTCTAATTTCATATTACAATTAATTGTTTAGAACTCTATTTACTATGCAGTTAAAGAGACAGTTCATTACGTTGAGCGCAATACGGTGTGTGTGTGTGTGGGGGGGGGGGGTGCTGGCAAGGAACAGTGTCTAGTCATTCGGGTGGGACAAAATCCGAGGGTCCGTGTACATGATGGCGTGTGCGTAAAAATAATCCTTGACATGATGACGGAGATCTAAACAAGAGAGAGAGAGAGTTTAACGTCCACTCGACACAAACTAAGTCATTTCGGGACTAACATAATATGGTTCAATTTTATTTCACTAATTCGCATGCGCGTAGTGTTCGTCACAGTTCAGCAGTGGGAGGAAACCGGAGAAAACCCACGAAGTTGGACAGGCGACCCTACTCCTTGAATCGAAACCACGGCAGTTGACTCAATGACAGAACTTATGATACAGCGAACACGTGCTAACCATTCAGCTATCCAACCCCCGTATGGCGTATGCTCGTCTTTATTATCCCAGTTGGTGCAGAGAGTAAGATGTTAAACCCCATTTGATTTCCATTACGTTTCTTATGGTCTACGATGATTGTATTTAGAACAGCAGACTTCTATAGTGCCGATGCGTTGAGTTCCAGTGTGGGCTGTCGATCGTATTTGTTTGCCTGTAAAACTGACGATAATGTGTGCCATGCATAAACGGTACGAACCCCGCACAATGTTATCAAATTATCACGAAAACCAATTTCACTTGCTGCGGTATATCAATTTCAAGATTTTTTTTTATATCTCTGATTGCATAAAAATGCGAATAATGAATGGAAACCCCGTGGCCTAAACAAAATTGGCATCCCTCGCTGTGGCAGAAAAATGCAATTACTGCATGAAAGTATAACATTGTTAATGAGATAGTATTATTCCATTTCACCTTGAAACATCAACAAACACAACCAGATGTTGAAACTCTTAGTAAATATAGAGCAGTAGTAGAAACCAGTGCATTGGATATTACATTGTCAAACTCGATTTTGGAACTTTTAATAAGTTAGGTTCAAGCTAAATTGTCCCAGCGGTATATTTAATAAAATATAGTGAACACCGGTACGGAAGGGATACCAAATTCAAAGGCCCGGGATACATAATAACAAATTAGTGTAATATTATGTCGGCCATATACCTATGTAACGCCTACTTATAACGTGTATACTTGTGAGTTGTATAACATAAAATGGGGTTTAACAGACTGCTGTTCTGCACAGACAGGGCTATTGAAGACGGGCATACGCCAATGCAGTATGCTCTAAGGGAAATTCTGCCTGGACCGTGGCTCCGGTCTAAATATAAAGACCATACTATACTCTTCAAAAAAAGTAGGGGATATTCAGAAACAATACAAAACTGCGGAAATGCACTGCTGTTTTTATTAGAGGTAACCAGTGTATGTCAATAACCGGCCAATTGCCGACACATGGACATAAACGGTTTATATGGGCGGCTTATCTGACGGCCCCATTTCACCCGCAATAAGATACACCGTCAAAAGTGAAAATGGACGTTTTTGATTTTTGTCTTAATAATGAGTAATGGCTCCATCAATCCTCAGACATTCAGCAATTCGTTGTGGCATGCTCCTAATTAATCAACCGTCCAATCACGATTTGGGGCAATCTGATCCACTCCTCTTGCAGTGCCAAGGCCAATTCTTGCAGTGTTGTCGGTTGATGTTGACGAACACGTCTCCCGATCAAATTAAACGTAACACACTAAAGCAAAGATACGCTAAACAGTAAATCTTTCCGATAGGAAAGCAAACATGGATAGATAAACCAGCACGCGGCAGTTTTCATCAACCCTTCCTTGAAGTGCCAAATTTGACAATGAACCCCTCCCACGTGTATGGCGCTATTGCGTGTCGCATGTGCAGCTCAGGGGTTCTGTTGGGGCGATAAGTGAACATACTCTCAAAGCAGGTCAAGTGTCCATGACTATTTATCACAACCTGCGTAGGTATTTGCATTTCAATATCCCCTACTTTTTTTGAAGAGTATATAATAGAAGAGTGAGCACACCCTATTACTGGCAACTGTGACAGCAGAGTCAATCCGGAACACAGATTGCGAAATCTTGTCGAGGTTTGACAGGTAGGTACTTCTTTTAGTTTCTTCTATTTACATCAATATTTGGATTGAATATTGATATATCACTTGCTACTATTGTTCTGTCAAAGAGAGCGATAGATAAGCAATTTATTTTAAACTGTACCTGTTTCTACTACTGCCCTGTTTAAATTGTGGACAGGGTGTCATGTTTCTAAGGACTCCAACTTTAACATATATATATATATGTAGTTTTTCATAACTTGGGACAAGAAATAGCACAATTCCTATTACTATACCTATTACTGTCGTTATTGATTAAAGTCATTACAATCTGAGACTTAAAGTCTACCCCAGAATATAGGACAAGTATGAGAACCATACATTTAACATTATGTTAACTTTGTTCATCATCAGTAGCCGTGTGATTAAAGAGATTATACTGTGTGCTCTATTTGAGCTCCATCTAAGGACCTTTTGTTCTGGATACAAACACAATGACTTCATAATACAGGATCTGCATTGTGAGCCAACGAGATAACACAGAAATGCTCCGATGAATGTTGGGACTGGAGTCGGTCTACTGATTTCAATCAACTAAAAGAAGCAAAAACTCCCAACTCCGTGAAAATACAATTGTATCGGCATGTTAGGTTGTGATCTAGGCGGAGTGTGCCTTGACGTCGTACTGCCAGGCGGTGCACTACCTGCAGGCCATATCCCCAAAGGTCCCGATTAAGATCTATTTCACTATCTTTGCTCTTCTATTTTCGCCCTATGCCAATCACTTTCTATTTACGCAGGGAGACACTTGTCCGCGATATCCACCTAGGTGGAAGTCGACGTAAAGCACAAGAAGAGAGAGCTAGAGAGAGAGAGAGATGGGGTTTAACGTCCACTCGACACAAATTAGGTCATTTCGGGACTAATACATGGTTCAATTCTATTTCAATAATTCGCTTGCGCGTAGGGGTCTTTAGCATTGGGAGGAAACCGGAGGACCCGGAGAAAACCGACGAGGTTGGACAGGCGACCCTACTCCTTGCCACGTACAACCCGGGAATCGAAACCCCGCCAGTTGACTCAATGACAGACCGTATTTTACAGCGCGCGCGTGCTAACTATTCGGTCACCCCCCCCCCCCCCACAAGAAGAGGAAGAAGAGGAAGCACATGCGTCAAACGATGAGCCGGGGGTTAAGATGGACTAGCATTTGATTGGTCTAAATAAGATTTTATATGTTTATTGTTTAAGAAAAACTGTTACATTCTGTCTGTATTGGTTAAATTTGTTATATTAGGTGTTTACAATCTACACATCTTGTTTCGTAATTTTTTGGTAGGGTGTGGGGGGGGGGGGGGGTAACGCGCGCGCGTGTCATCATACGGTCTGTCATTGCGTCAAGTCATTGGTGATCTTCGGAAAATATGATTTCTGATTTTATCTCACAGCTAAAAAGAGCATGTTGAAATTAAAGATACATTATGGGAGATTCGGTAACGAGTTGGCAGTTCTCACTATAATAGTTAAAAACTAGATAAGGTAGAAGGCATTTGGTGAAAATTTCATTCAAATTGATCCACTATGAGACGAGAACTAAGCGACTAAAATTCGTATAAGCCTCGGTCATCATTACTAAAGTCAGTACGATAAACAGCATAGTCTCGATTATCCATTTAATCGTTTAATGAGAAGGAAAGTTATGCAGTAAATCGGCTTACAATCCACTAAAGATCGCAAGCCATGTCAGCCATCTAGAGTTGATTATGGCCTGGATAGGTTAATTAATGTCTAATTAATAATTTAGATAACATTTCAGGCCTAAAGAAAGACCTGAAATAGGCAGATTTAGCTA